GAAGGACCGTGATTACGTGGCAAATATGAGCGAAGGACCTCGATTATATTATAAATATGAGCGAAGGACCACGATTATATTATAAATATGAGCGAAAGACCACGATTATTATAAATATGAGCGAAGGACCATGATTACGTGGCAAATATGAGCGAAGGACCTCGATTATATTATAAATATGAGCGAATGACCACGATTATATTTTAAACAAGAGCGAAGGACCAATATTACGTGGCAAATATGAGCGAAGGACCTCGATTATATTATAAATATGAGCGAAGGACCACGATTATATTATAAATATGAGCGAAAGACCACGATTACATTTTAAATAAGAGCGAAGGACCAATATTACGTGGCAAATATGAGCGAAGGACCTCGATTATATTATAAATATGAGCGAAGGACCACGATTATATTATAAATAAGAGCGAAGGACCATGATTACGTGGCAAATATGAGCGAAGGACGTGATTACGTGGCAAATATGAGCGAAGGACCACGATTATATTATAAATAAGAGCGAAGGACCAATATTACGTGGTAAATATGAGCGAAGGACCTCGATTATATTATAAATATGAGCGAAGGACCACGATTATATTATAAATAAGAGCGAAGGACCATGATTACGTGGCAAATATGAGCGAAGGACCTCGATTATATTATAAATATGAGCGAAAGACCACGATTATATTATAAATAAGAGCGAAGGACCAATATTACGTGGCAAATATGAGCGAAGGACCTCGATTATATTATAAATATGAGCGAAGGACCACGATTATATTATAAATAAGAGCGAAGGACGATGATTACGTGGCAAATATGAGCGAAGGACCGTGATTACGTGGCAAATCTGAGTGAAGGACCACGATTATATTATAAATAAGAGCGAATGACCAATATTACGTGGCATATATGAGCAAAGGACCTCGATTATATTATAAATATGAGCGAAGGACCACGATTATGTTATAAATAAGAGCGAAGGACCAATTATGAGCGAAGGACCTCGATTATATTATAAATATGAGCGAATGACCACGATTATATTATAAATAAGAGCGAAGGACCATGATTACGTGGCGAATATGAGCGAAGGACCTCGATTACGTGATTAATATGAGCGAAGGACCTCGATTATATTATAAATATGAGCGATTGACCATGGTTACGTGATAAATATGAGCTACTCTATGCCAAACAACTATTGACTTTATGGTCAGTTCGAAAGATAATCTTCAGGGTAGGTTGGGATACAATCAACTCGATGGTCAAAGATTTATTATATGTAACAACTTATTTCTCGAAAATGTCCACAAATGTGCATGTGCGAGAGGCGT